TTTTATGACTCTGGCTAAAGGTTTATCAATTTTGTTGATCTTTTCAAAGAATCAGCTCCTGGTTTCATTGATCTATTCTATTAGTTTTTTTAGTTTCTTTTTTTTTAAAGATTTTATTTATTTATATGACAGAGAGAGACAGCGAGAACAGGAACACAAGCAGGGGGAGTGAGAGAGGGAGAAGCAGGCTTCCCGCTGAGCAGGGAGCCTGATGTGGGACTCGATCCCAGGACCCTGGGATCATGACCTGAGCCGAAGGCAGATGCTTAACGACTGAGCCACCCAGGCGCCCAGTTTTTTTAGTTTCTATTTCATTTATTTATGCTCTAATCTTTATTATTTCCTTCCTTCTATTGGTTTTGGGTCTTGTTTGTTCTTCTTTTTCTAGCTCTGTTAGGTGTAGGGTTAGGTTGTTTATTTGAGATTTTTCTTGCTTCTTGAGGTAGGCCTGTATTGCTATAAACTTCCCTCTTAGAAGAGCTTTTGCTGTCTCCCAAAGATTTTGGACCATTGTGTTTCTTATTCATTTGTTTCCATGTATTTTTTTATTTCCTCTTTGATTTCTTCGTTGACCCATTCATTGTTTAGCAGCATGTGATTTGGCCTCCTTATATTTGTGTTCTTTCCAGGTTTTTTTCTGGTGATGGATTTCTAGTTTTATAGTGTTGTGGTCAGAAAAGATGCATGGAATGATTTTGATCTTTTTGAATTTGTTGATATGTGTTTTGTGGTCTAAAACATAATCTATTCTGGAGAATGTTTCTTGTGCATTAGAAAAGAATGTGTATTCTACCTTTTTAGGATGAAATGTTCTGAATATATCTGTTAAATCCATCTAGTCCAATGTGTCATTTGAAGCCACTATTTGGATGATCTATCCATTGATGTAAGTGGGGTATTAAAGTCCCCCACTACTATTGTATTACTACTGAATACTTTCTTTATGCTTGTTATTAACTGCTTTAAATATTTGGGAGCTCCCATGTTGGGTGCATATTTACAATTGTTATACTTCTTGTTGAATTGTCCCCTCAGTGATTATATAGTGTCCTTCTTTGTCTCTCATTATAATCTTTGTTTTAAAGTCTGTTTTGTCCAGTATAAGTATTGCTACCCTGACTTACTTTTGACATCCATTTTGCATGATAAATACTCCCCCATTTCTTCACTTTCAATCTGCATGTGTCTTTAGGTCTGAAATGAGGTCTATTGTAGGCAGTATATAGATGAATCTTGCTTTTTTATCCATTCTGTCACCCTATGTCTTTTGATTGGAGTATTTAGTCAGTTTACATTCAAAGTAATTATTGGTAGGTATGCATTTATTGACATTTTGTTACTCATTTCATGGTCATTTTTATTTGTTCCCTTCTTCTCTTGTTCTCTTCTTTCACCGTTAGTTGTCTTTCTTTAATGATATACTTGGATTCCTTTTTACAGATATACTTATTTTTACTGCCTTTCTGCTTCTTACTTTCTTTACTCTTGTTCATGATCTTTCCACTCAGAGTCCCTTTTAACATTTCTTATAGGGCTGGTTTATTGGTCATAAATCCCTTTAATTTTTGTTTGTCTGAGAAACTCTTTATGTCTCCTTCTATTCTGAATGATAACCTTGCTGGATAGAGTATTCTTGGCTGCATTTTTTCCTTGCAGCACTTTGACTATATCATGTCACTCTCTTCTGGCCTACAAGATTTCTGCTGAAAAATCACCTGATAGCATTATGGGATTTCCTTTGTATGTAACTGCTTTCTTTTCTCTTACTGCTTTTAAAATTCTGTCTTTATCATTACTTTTTGCCATTCTAATTACCGTGTGTCTTCGTGTGGTCCTCCTTGGGTTCATTTTCTTGGGGAATCTCTGTGCCTCCTGGTTCTGGATTTCTGTTTCTTTCCCCAGATTCAGGAAGTTTTTGGCTACTATTTATTCAAATAAATTTTCTGCCCCCTTTTCTTTCTCTTCTCCTTCTGGGATGCCTATAGTGTGAATGTTATGATGCTTGATGGTGTCACTGATTTTTATAAGTCCAGTCTTTTGCATAATATTTTTTCTCTCACTTGCTCAGCTTGATTACTGTCCATTACTCTGTCCTCTAGGTGACTGATTCATTCTTCTGCTTTTTCTAGTCTACTATTTATGCCATCTAGTGTATTTTTAATTTCATTTATTGTGTTCTTAATCTCTGATTGGTTCTTTTATATCTCATTGTTAAAGTCTTACTAATTTCCATCACTTTTTTCTCAAGTCCAGAGAGTATCTTTATGATCATTACTTTAAATTTTCTGTCAAGTATATTAATTATATCTGTTTTCCTTAGGTCTCTTGCTATGGCTTTGTCCTATTCTTTCATTTGGGACACTTTCCTCTGTTTCCTCATTTTGTCTAACTTTCTGTATCTGTTTCTTTGTGTTAGGAAAGACAGCCATGTCTACTGCACTGGAAAGTAGTGGCCTTATGAAGAAGAGGTCCTTTAGTGCCCTGCTATGTAGCATCCCCTGTTCATCAGAACCTGGTGCTTCAGGGGTGTCTCCTGTGTGTGTTGCATGTGCCCTTCTGTTGTGGCTGAGCCAATTTTTCCTTCAGTCCAGTCATCTGCAACGGTTCTTTGCCTGTTGTGGGTAGTGATTGGTTCCTGTGGTGTTAATGGGCCAGTCTGGTGACTCCTTGGGCTTGAGTTTGGTCGGACCAGGTGGTTCCAGAGATGTAGTAGCACCACACTGCCATGAATTTCCTTTCTATTTGCCCCTGAGAAGCTTTCTTCGGTGTGTGGGGTCTGCAGTCAGACCACTTGTCTGCCTCCAGCCCACTTCTGGGACCCACATCTGACTGGTGTGTGTGGTTATCTTTCCTTCTCTCTGAAGCAGAAGTCACTTTGGAGTGGCACTGGCCACTGTAAGGGTTGCTTACACACTTCCAGGCCTGTGGCACAGCCCTGCATGAGCTCCCAGAGAGTATTGCAGAGGGCAGATCCACTGAAGCACAGCACTGGGGGGCAGTGGGGGTGTGTGCAGTGGTGCTAGCAAGCTTTATGTGCCCTGGGGTCTCTGTGCAAGGGGCCCTTCAGTGCCAGGGCTGCAGTGGGCTATCCAGAGGAGTAGATTGGTGGGAGCACAGTGCAGGGGGGATGGGGGACATTGCTAGCAAGTTAGATAACATGTCCCTTGGGTGGCCCTGTGTTTACATTGTGCGGTGGGGGAAGGAAATGGTGCCTGTCAGTTTCTTTGTTCCTGGAGGAGTTCCCCAATAATTTCTGTCCCTCTGGGACCTGATTTGAGATTAGCAAATAACTCTCCCTCCTGTATGAGCTAGCACCTTTCAAACTGCTGCTTCTATGCTGTATCTCTGTGGGTTGCTAGTTGTGCTGTCTCTTTAAAAGGTGGGCAATCAGTTTCCTCTGGTCCTCCTGACTCTCCCAGAGCCAAGCCTACTGATTTTTAAAAATTCCAGGGTTTAAGTCTCATGGGTTGTAAGAACTCATGGAATTCTGCCCCTCTGGTTTTCAAAGCCAAATGTTATAGTGATTTGTCTTCTTTGGAGGGCAGGCTCTCCATTTTGGGAGTCTGTTTCACTCCCCTCTTTGTGTCCACAGAGTCCCTCCCTCCCATGGACAGATGGACAGTCCCATGAGTCTGCTTACTTCCTGTCTCTTGGCCCTTCCTACACTCTTCAGTGTGGCCTCTTCTCTACATTTAGCTGTGGAGCTTGTTCTGCCTGTCTTCAGGTCATTCTCTGGGTTATTTACACTGATGTGAGTTTCATGTAATTGTATTTGTGGGACCAGGTATACCTAGAGTGCTCCCACTCTGCATCTTCCCCCGAACATAAATTTTTAAGCAAAGCTATTTGGTTTTGTTATAAGATCAATGAAAAAAAGATTATTGTTACTCATCCCTCCCCCCCCATTGTCAAAATGTTTCCATACCCTATTTTGAAATGTCTTTGATGAGCAGAAGGCTTTAATGACACAGATAATTTGGAGTAGACAGTGTTTTACTATTTTTAATATAATTTTACTGTTATTCATACACTAGTTCTATTAATCTACCTTTACTACAGGACATATCCAAACATTTAATTTGCGAAGATGTTTTCTTTTTTTTTTTTTTTAAGATTTTATTTATTTGACAGAGAGAGACACAGCGAGAGAGGGAACACAAGCAGGGGGAGTGGGAGAGGGAGAAGCAGGCGTCCCGCGGAGCAGAGAGCCTGATGTGGGGCTCGATCCCAGGACCCTGGGATCATGACCTGAGCTGAAGGCAGACGCTTAACAACTGAGCCACCCAGGTGCCCCACGAAGATGTTTTCTAATATCAAAGATGTACCATAGTGAGAATTGAAGAGGTAGTTTTTTGAATATCTGTTCATGGTTTTCCATTATTCCTCACATGACAAAATATCCATCTAAGCCTCTGCCCTCTCTCCATGCTTTATTTTTATTAGCTTTTCCACACAGAAGAGAGAGGGGATTGTGATTTGTCAGACAATGAGAAAAGCATTAGGCCAGGTTTTTAAATGGGAAGATTTACTGTGACTTAAAGATAGGATCTTGTGCTCCACACATGATTTGCCAGTGCCTTGCCTCCATTCATGCAGGCCAGGTTAACCTCCTACCTCTCTGTTCAGGTTCTTCTGTTTGAGACTAGGTAGATACAGCATCTGACTGTCCAGAGTAGATGACCAGGATAACAATCCCAGAACAATTACATGATGGAGTAAAAGACTGAGATCTTTCTCCAAAGCAAACATCTTGGGCAAGTACTAGGAACTTAACCTTATATTTATAATAAATTAGGTACTTTGTGGGCGCCTGGGTGGCTCAGTTGGTTAAGCGACTGCCTTCGGCTCAGGTCATGATCCTGGAGTCCCGGGATCCAGTCCCGCATCGGGCTCCCTGCTCGGCAGGGAGTCTGCTTCTTCCTCTGACCCTCCTCCCTCTCATGCTCTCTGTCTCTCATTCTCTCTCTCAAAAAAAAAAAAAAAAAAAATCTTAAAAAAAAATTAGGTACTTTGTGTCTCTTTGATATTTTCCTTCTGTCTTTAAAATTCAACAGTGAAAAGTGAGTGTATTGGGGCAGTACATTTGAGCACTAACACTTGGTACAGAAAATTCTATAATGCCATTCTTTACTTTTTGTGTCCATAGAACACCTTCTTCTACTTCCATCATTACCACAGAGCATCTATGAACATCTTTTTAAACTCTAGAGATCCAGACTCTGATCAGGTGATAACAGATTCTAGACCCAGATAGGCTGAGTTAAAAATCTCTAATCTATAGCTTACAAACTGTTGGTCCTGAGCAGCAAGTTGCCCTTGGTTACCTCGTCTGTACACTGACAATTATAAAAATATAATAATAATAATATAACAACATAATATAAAATACTATATTATTATACTTATACAATAACAATTATATTAATCTTAATCCTATGTAGTAGGACCTAAAGAATATGAATATATATAAATATATACATACTTAATATATATCTCATACATATCATATGTATAAAACAGTCCTGGCTTATGAATTGAAAATTCTGGTTTAAAGGTTTTCATTAATTTGTCTTTATAATCTCTATAATTTATTTCATGGCATTGAAAGTTGCAAGAGGGTAGCTGGTGCTATCTCAAAGATACAGTTGAAATATTTTTTTAAAAAGCATACATACATATATATGGAAATGGGAATATTTGATAATAATATGATAATGCAATAGAAAATGTGAGTTAAATCAGACAATTAAAAATACTTTGTGAAGAAGGACAGGCAAAATAACATAGATATTCTTTGATCTGTCGTAGTTTAAATGCAGATGTATTTAAAAGTCAGAAGTTAAGCTCTCAAGGTCCTTTGCAAGGCTCTAATTCCATCATACAAAGGAAATGTTCCTTTTTGAACTGTTCCAATTTTGAGATTAATGCATGCACATTTTCTATTAAGATATACACAGAGAAAGAAAGTTAGGTAGACATACATTGTTTAATTCAGATTTGCCTACTTACAGATGGTAACATTCTGTGCAATAATAATGCTCTCAAAACCATTTGCAAATTTGTCCAGCACAACTCTGCCTTTAATGATGAAGTTTCCACAGTGGCAGATGGCAGAGTGAGCAGTGAAGGATGCTGCCGACCCACCAGGGTTATGTCTGTCACTAAAGCGATCTGGCTCCAAAAGCCGAAGTCTGTTGAGGTCATACTGGCTATTGCTCCATTGGAATGACTTGATTGATCGCATTTGTGGTTATTCCATAAATGATGACCTTCTAGAAGGGGTCCTGGCAGTTTCATCCTGCTGTAGGAGAATGATATAGAGAAACACACAGTATCTGCAGTCTATCGACATATCATAGAAACAAAGGGGCAATTTATGGAACTTAAAAAAAAAAAAAACATTCACTGGATGTTGCTGTTCCCTTCTTGTCTCAATGGTTAAGTAGCTTGTCAAAACAGCTGCAGTACTACTTTTAATATCGTCACATTTAGAGAGGGAAAAGGAAATGAGAACAAGATAAAATATGTTTTTAAATGAATTTTTTAAAAAGCAAGGATTATTATTTTAATGAGAGCATATAAACTTGAATTGAAATCCAGTTATTCTTTAAGCACCTAAAATCAGCAGAGAGTGTAGATAGAAGAAAATAAATTTAAAAACTTCAGTGACCAAGTGAACCGTTAGTATATTGTGGAGAAAATTATATGCTATTCCATGGGAAGTTTAACCCAATAAAATACCACTTATGAAGTATATTATATTGAAATCATCAAGTTCCATTTATAATGTGATATTATTGGACTCATTTATCATATAGCAAGTATGTGAGTGTACTTTTCAAAACTGAATTTATTGTCAACATCACTTACACTGGAAGGAACAAAGTGCATTCCTCTGTCCCCATTTATTGAACAGTAACACAGAAAATTACAGAAAAATATTAATTCTCTTGTGTCACTGGCTAAAATAAGAAGAATAGCTTTTGTGTATAAAGTTACTTGTTAATAGTAATAGCAACAATACTTTCATTTATAATTACTTGCTTTATTCAGAAACTTCTGAGTATTGCATTACCTGTCTTCAATTCTTATGACAACTATAAGACTTATTTGGAGACTCCATGAGGAGCCAAGCCAGTGCTGTGCTGAACCAGTGAGAGTTTCTTGTGAAATTTTCAGGAAATTTGCAAGATATTGTTAAATATGGCCATTAGTAAAAATTAAATTATATAAACTTATGATTACATAAATTATATTTAAAAAGGTAATACATAGAACTCATCATGCTCTAAATATTTCATTACATTTTACTATTATCTATGTACTTGAGGTCTTTTACATTTATGGTTCGTGTATGTATATGAATGGAATACCATACAGTGTTGTGCTACTGTGCATGTCTTCCCAACTCTGTGCTCAGTGATGCCATACTATGCAGGTAGCTTTAAATCAGCCACAGTGGGATTGTTTATACCCTGGAACTGGCTCTCCCACCCCAAGACTTAGGTGTTCAACAATTACTAGTCTATCACTATGTGAGACATGTTGTTCTTCTGACTTCAAGGCACATTGTACAGTAAGCCATGTTGTCTCCTTTTGAATGGTTTGAAGCACGGGTTTTCTTTATGGTCTCTACTGGCTTTGGGAGAGGATTTGGGCATGTGTATAAGCTTTTTCTGGAGAGATAGTCTGTAGCGTCTATTAGATTTTCAGAGACTCTATAACCTAAAAGAAACTTTAAAAAATTGATAAAAAGCCATTTCTATAGGAAAAAATACTGTATCATCAGCAAGCATTCTTTTTCTCTGAAATAAAGAAATCAAGTAGCCTGTAGTAGATATGATTAAGAATTTTGCTTCTCATAATGTGTTACGGAAAATGTTCCTTATGTATGTATCTTATTTAGTGAACATTCTTCATTAGCTTGCTGTTTCCCCTTTTAAAAAGTTTCCCGATTTAGCAAAGCATTAAATACGATAAAATACTTAGGAATAAATTTACTAAGGAAATAAAAGATCTATACACCAAAAACTATAAGACATTGATGAAAGAAGTTGAAGAAGACACAAGCAAATGGAAAGATGTTCCATATTTATGGATCAGAAGAAGTAATATGTTAAAATGTCCATATTACCCAAAACCATCTACACATTCAGTGCAATCCCTGTGAAAATGCCAATGGAATTTTTCCACATAAATAGAAAAAAATAATCAAAAAATTCGTATAGAACCACAAAAGACCCCAATCAGCCAAAGCAATCTTGAGAAAGAACAAAGGTGGAGTCATTACCCTTTTTAATTTCAAGCTACATTACAAAGCTATAGTAATCAAAACCATATGGTACTGGCACAAAAGAAGACATAAGCAAATTGAACAGGATCAAGAGCCTAGAAATAAGCCTATGCATATACCATTAACTAATATTTGATAAAGGAGCCAAGAATATTCAATGCGGAAAGGATAGTCTCAATAAACGGTACTGAGAAAACTGGATATTCACATCCAAAAGAATGAAATTGGGCCCTTACTTTATACCATTCACAAAATTAACTCAAAATGGATTATGGACTTAGAGGTAAGGCCTAAAACTGTAAAACTCCTAGGAGTTTTACATAGGTGAAAACTCTGTGATATTACCTCACCCCTGTTAGATTGGCTATTATCAAAAAGAGAAGAGATAACACATGCTGGTGAAGATAAGGAGAAAAGGGCACACTAGTGTATCATTGGTGGGAATGTAAATTGGTGCAGCCACTAAGGAAAACAGTATGGAGCGTCTTTAAGAAACTAAAAATAGACTAGAATAATATAATCCAGCAATCTCACTTGTGAGTATATATCTGAAGGAAATGAAATCACTATCTTGAAGAAATACCTGCAGTTCCATGTTCATTGTAGCATTACTTTCAATAGCCGAGGCATGGAAATAACTTAAGTATCTGTTGACAGATGAGTGGATAAAGATCTGAGATTATTCACAGACACACACACACACACACACACACACACACATACACACACACAAAGTGGACTCTTATCCAGTCATAAAAAAGAAGGAAATCCTGCCATTTGCAACAACATGGATAGACCTTGAGGGTAATGTGCTAAGTGAATTAATTCAGATAGGAAATGACAAATGCTGTATGATCTCATTGATATGTGGAATCTAAAAATATTGAACTCATGGAAACAGTAGAATTGTGGTTTCTAGGGGCAAAGTGGTGGGCAAAATGAGGTTATGTTGGTCAAAGAGCACAAACTTTCAGTTACAAGATGAATAATTTCTGGGGATCTAATGTACAGTATGGTGACTATTGTTAACAATACTATCTGTATATTTGAAAGTCCCTATGAGAGTAAAACTTTAATGTTCTCACCATAAAAACAACAACAGGTAATTATGTGAAGTAAAGGATGTGTTAACTAACTTCACTGTGCTAAAGCATTTCACAAAATATACATGTAACAAATAAATAATATTTGGCACATATTTATTCTAAACATTATTTATTTTTTAGCTGAAATTCAAATTTAACTAGGCATCCTGTATTTTATTGCAACTCTACTTTTAAAGGTCTTCTTTCCTCATTCTTCCATCTTCCTTTTCTTCTCATTTAGAAATCTATTGGATTCATGAACCACAGCTTGACTTTTATATTAATTATGTGAATAAGAGTTACTTATGTCTGAATTCATTCCCAGTTCCATTGCTTTCAAATTATTTAATTTCTCCAGGTCTCAGTTTTCTTGTCTGTAACAGAAGCCTTCTTAGGATTACTAGCAAGAGTAAATCAGATAATGTATTTAACAATTACTGTAGTGCCTGCCAGTTAGTAAGCCTGCATTATATACCAGTCATGGTGATGATGATATAATCATCATGTTTTCATTGTCAAAAAGTTGCAGCCTTCTGGATTACAACTAGCCTCATCTCACCCAACATTTCTCATGCATGCATTTCCTTTCTCACCTTATTTACTTTCTGGAATGAATCATCAAACTTACATAACCAGTCCCATACATCACCATCAGAAAACCCCAAACCTCCACTGGATTTTATTTCCTGTTTTGTTTTTTTTTTATGTTTTTCCCAGCTTTGTTGAAATATAATTGACATATAACATTGTGTAAGTATAAGGTGTACAAAGTGATAATTTGACATACTTCTATATTGCAAAATGATTACCCGGAAGGGTTAGTTAATACCTCCATCACCTTACATAATTACCATTTCTTTTTGTGGTGAGACCATTTAAGATCTACTCTCTTAGTGACTGTTGACTATTCTATTATGGTATTGTTAATTATAGTCACCATACTACATGTCAGATCCTCCTGGTTTTTATGTTGGTGTGGTCTGAACATGCTCATTTATACTGAGGGGTCAGAGCCACTCAACCATAACTTTGCTAACAATGGCCAGAGAAATGGCTAGTAAGGAAGATGATAATGACACTTTATGGAGTCTGAATTCTGCCAAAAGCTAAGTTAGGGTCTTTTGCATATGTTTTCATTCAATCCTCATAATAGCTCTATAAGTATTAATATTGACATTTTATAGATAAGGAAAAAGGAGAACTTAGAGGTAAAAGAAGCAAAAAATGGGAATAACTTTGGACTTTACTCTTGGTAGGGAATTCTCCACACTTAGATAATTATAACTTATAGTAGTATAGGTGTTCCTGAGGTTTTTATTTTTCTCCAAGGATGTTCATATACAATCTCATTTATGCTTACAACCATCCTATAACTTAGAAGCTAAGTAATCATTGTAAAAGTAATTATTGTCTCCATTATGTAAGTAATGAAGTTGAGACACTGGGAGGGTAAATGTCTTGTCCAGGATTGTGTGGTAATTGGAGTTATTACTAAAAACTGAACCCTATAATTCAAATATGCTCAGTTTTTCCTAATGAACCAGGAAGAGCAAATCGCTTTCATCACACATGATAATGCTGATCAATTGGTATTGGCTACCCGGGGTACCATGTTAATAAAACCTCGGAGATCTTTCTTAGGTTCAATGGCAAAGAATGCCATAGTAAATTAGTAATATCTGCTATGGACATGAGCGGTGGGGGCAATAATGACGACCTGAGAGGAGAGTATTGTACAAGCTAGTGGAGCCAAGTGTGAGATGCCCAATCAACAATAGATTCCCAAACTTCAAAGCGAGTAATCCCCAGAATATCTAAGAATTATTCATTGAGAACCCAAAAGTGATAATTCTGTGTCATTTAATTGCCCCAAAGAACAAGGGAATGGATTAGTTTAGTCCAGACACCATTTGCCTCTTCTCC